CTATAGACCCTATAGTTCTTATACAGCCATGGATATACCCTATAGTTCTTATACAGGTGTCTATATACCCTATAGTTCTTATACAGCCATGTATAGACCCTATAGTTCTTATACAGGTGTCTATAGACCCTATAGTTCTTATACAGGTGTCTATAGACCCTATAGTTCTTATACAGGTGTCTATAGACCCTATAGTTCTTATACAGCCATGTATAGACCCTATAGTTCTTATACAGCCATGTATGGACCCTATAGTTCTTATACAGCCGTCTATAGACCCCAACGTTCTTATACAGGTGTCTATAGACCCTATTGTTCTTATACAGCCATATTTTGACCCTATAGCTCCTCATACAGCTATCTATAGATTCTATAGTACCTATACACCTATGTATAGGCCCTATCATTCGTACACAGGTATCTATATACCTTATAGTTCTTGTACAGAGGTCTACACACCAACCATATATTTCTTATACAGCCATCTATAGACCCTACAGTTTTTATACAGCCATCCATAGACACTATAGTCCTTACATAACTATCTATAGACCCTTAAGTCTTTATATATACGCATAGACCCTATAATTCATATACAGCTATCTGCATACCCTATCGTTCTTGTACAGCAGTTTAAAGACCCTGTAGTTCTTATACAGCTGTCTATGGACCCTATAGATCCTCATACAGCATATATAACTCCTTACACAGTTATCTATAGACCCTATAGCTCTAACACAGCTATCCATACATTCTCTAGTTCAGATATGTCGATCTATAGACCGTATATATAGTTCTGATACAGCTAACTACAGACCTTATGGCTCCTCATACAGCTATCAATAAACTCTTCAGCTCCATCTACATCTATATCTAGACCCTACAGCTTCTTATACAGCTATCTATAACACTACTACTTATATAGACCCTATAGCTCCTCATACAGCTATCAATAAACTCTTCAGCTCCATCTGCATATAGACCCTATAGCTCCTCATACAGCTATCAATAAACTCTTCAGCTCCATCTGCATATAGACCCTATAGCTCCTCATACAGCTATCAATAAACTCTTCAGCTCCATCT